AAGGGGCGAGAGAGCGAGAGAAGGAGCGAGAGAGGGAGAGAGAGAGAGAGAGAGAGGGAGAAAGAGAAATCAGAGGGGACGAACGGTAGTAGGAGGAGGGCTGGAGGCGGAGGGTGGTGGTTTTTGAGATGATCCGGCCAATCTGCGCATCATTTCCCCGATGCACCCCGCGTCGCGGCAAACCGGCGCGGATTCCGCACCACCGCAAGCACCGTAGAAGCCCTGTTGAATGCCACATTTTGAGGCGAGGATGGAAAAGAAAGGGACGGGGAGAGCGAGCGCGGTGCGCGGACAAGGATGGGAAGAAGGGAAGAGCAAGGAAAAAGGAACGAGAGGGCGGCACTAAAAAAAGAGGGAAGAGAAGCGACGGGGGGATGAGGAGAGACGGGGGGAGGAGGGGAGACGGAGAGGAGTACAAGCACGGCCTGCCACTGGGGGGATGAAAAAAGTGGAAAACAGATATAGGCAAAAGAGAATCTTTTCTCCTCGTATCTCTCGCTTCTTCCCCCTCCTTCCACGCCGCTTCCTCCTCGCGTCTTCTTTCGATGCGTTCCACGGACGTATCGAGGATATGTTTACACTACTGAAAGGAGAAGAATCTCGGCGTTGCGAGTACGAATATCGATCTTTAAATGCAAGAAGGAATTGAAATGAGTGCGTGCCTTTGTCGTGTCTGATCTTAAGACGGGACCGTTCTCGTTCAAATTACGTTAATCGTTTGAGGGGTGTATTTAAGATAATGCTCGGGAGTACGAATGTTTTTGTGTAAAATTAAAAAGGCGATCGCTTGATGCTTTCCATTTAAAGAATTACGATCAAAGATTTTTTAAAAAAAACTGTTAAATTTTAATCTATGTTTTAATTAATCAATTACTCTTTATCAGGTGGTCATTGAGCGTGAAATGAATACGCGGAAGAAGGAGATTGTTTTGAGGGGAAACGTATAGGAAATTTCCTTCAGACAGACAGAGAAGATAAATAACGATGGTTTCGATTCAGAATTTAAAGGGATTTGGATCCCTCAAACTCGACGAGCGCGTTTTGTTAAGCCATGCACGGGGACATACGTTGTAGCTTTCAATGCACCAGGGATCAATCCACGCTTGCATAGGTACGCACGGTGCGTGCTTAATTTTCACGTTAGTTCGATGAACTGATCGATCACTGGAAAAGTTAATCAAGTCGATCGAAAATAAAATTAAAACAGGAGTAAGAATTACACGGTAAAGAAGAACGCATCGATGGAATATATGAAAATTATATTATTTACAATTTTACAATTGTTGTTGCGAATAATAATTATTAACGCGATGCGAGAAGATCCAGGTGTTATAATTGTTATAAACAGGGAGTAAATGATTTTAGTGGAAAAGTTAATTGACCGTGCGAGAAGAACAGACTACGCGCGTTTATTATTTAACGAGACTTTTCGTGTCCGTAGGTGCACGGATTGTCGTTAGTAACGGGCTCCACTACACGTGGAAGTTGGATGACCGTTCACATCAGACCCTGAAACGGTACTAATTGGCCTGTTGCGACGGGGGTAATGTGCGAAAGCACTCGTAGCACTCCTCACACCGCCCTAAGCCAGCCTTGCTTTCGATGTATCTAAAAGGGAAGAGATTAAGTTCCCTTTAATTCTTCCCATTGTGCTCACGATATTTACTTTTCTTAGTTAAAATATATGCTCGTGTATTAATTATTATTATTATCGAATAAACAATTTTGAATTCAATCCCAATATTATAACTGTATTAAATATTCATTGATTAAATATTAATTGGAATAAACGTATAGATTGTTTATCGAAAAAAATCTTAAATCTCGATATTATACAATTTTTAGATATCGAACGTAACTTTGTATCTTCGTCGAAACGAATAAATTACGAGAGATATGGAATACAGAGATTTT